AATAGCAGAGCGAAGACTGTGAGGGCTATGCCCAGTGCTGGGAGGTTGTTCCCGCAGGATCGAAGCTGGGACCAGAGCCACAGGAGCAGCTCCATGATCGTTCTCCCCTTTGCCCCCCCACGTGTTTTTAACTCTCACCCCTGCGTCCACGAAAGCTTATGCTCTAATAAATTTGTTAGTCTCTAAGGTGCCATAAGTCCTCCTGTTCTTCTTTTTGCAGGACTCTCCTGATCACGTGTGCCAGTCCCGTTCCATTCCCTTGTAGTAATTTGGATTAGCCTGAAGGCCTTTCTAAATTATGGCAGTTTTCAATGGCCATGAGAGGCAGTTACAGCAGCTGGGATTCTGCAGGGTACAGGGGAACCCTGGCCCGTGCCTTGGCTACAGGAAAGCATCCTGTAGGAATTGCTATGCCAGCCTACAGCATCGGATTATCCCTCTGTCCTGGCTGAACATGCTGTGACTGGCTACACTAGCTTTGAGGCTACTTTGCACCACTCCACCAGCACAGTGTGCCTCTTGTAAGCGAGCACCACGGCCACTGTACCCTGGGGACAGACAGGCATTGCAGAGCACAAAGGAGAAGAGTTTAAAGCAATTCTCAAATAGTTTAGGTCCAAAATTTAACCTATTTTCAGCTATTTGTGGGATTTCTTGAGGATTGTCCACACAGATGGGAGAAAATGCCCTTCTGAACCAAGAATTTGGGGAGAGAAAAACCACAAGTAGTTGTTTTATGTGTATGTGAAAAACACAAAAAAACAACGTATTGTGTTCCTGCTTTTGTACAGCAACTTTCCTCAAAGCCACTTGGGCATCAGCCAACGATGCTGATGACACACAAAGAGGCACTGTGTGACAAGCAGATGAGAGTCCTTTTCTATAAGGCACTGGTGAACATGCGTCTGTAACAGTGCCTAGCTTAGGGAGCTGGATGAGCTGATTCCTGAGGAAAGATAAAATGATATAAATATATAGACTGGTCAAATATCTAAGGAAGGGGACTACGATTCTGCCTGCAAGTATTTGAAAGGTGCAAATGCAAAGGATGGAGGGAAATTGTTTAGGGTTGGGTGAAGGAGTAATGGAATGAAACTAAATAATGGAGAATTTACTCTGGACATCAAGAAACAAATCCTCAGCAAGAGGTCTATCAGACTGGGGAATAGTTTCCTAGGGGAAGTGATGAAAGCCTCATTGCTGATCATTAAAAATGGAAACGCCCTCAGGGGCATACCACTGACTAGAAAATAGAGGGGTGGATAAGAATAGACCATTTCTATCTTTAATTTCTATGATTCTGTAAGTAAAAGGAGCTGTTTTCGTTTCCGTTCTGTGAGAAATGCAAGAAAGCAAAATGAAATGGAAATAGGGGCAGAAAAGGGAATAATATGTTGTTACTAAAAATGTGGTGTTAAAACAACTACAGGTCAAAAGTGTTGTTAGCATTGTCATAATCCGATTTGATCTGGAAACTCAAAAACTTTTCCTATCGCATGGTCAAAACAAGAACCAGACCCAGTTTCCCTGTGGCTGGAGTGTTGAAAGGTACCAGCCTAGAAAAGGGGCCTCTGGAGTTTGGAAACTACAATCACAAAACATAATATGATTTAGTTGCCTCAAGCTACATCAGTAGTTTCCTTGGAGACAGGCAAAGCATTCACTTGTAACAACTAACCCTGCAGAGGTGGTGTGTGCTCTTATTAGTGCAGACACAGCCAGCAAGCACATCCTAAAGTTGTATAGCTGGAGATTACAGTTTTGTTCACCTTTGCTGAGACTCTCAATCATTTCTGATGACTGACGAGGAAGCTGTCGTCCATGCATCGACATCCCCAAACCAGAGAATTAATGGATCTGAGCTGAGACAAATGCATTTCATATATAATAAATCTTTCACTAGCCCTTTTCATCCCAGAGGCTATAGATGGTACATAAAGGGACCACTTCACCCACCACTGAAGTGCAGACATCTCTGAGGTGGAATGCAGCAGCTATTTAACAGTGCTAATATTGTGCAACAGCCCAGCCCACTACAATGTCTCCAACTGAAATTACAGGGAGAAGGGAAAGAGTCAGTGTGTCTGGGTGTTCCCCTATGTGTGTGTGTTTGTGTAGTGGGGATCACTCTCCTCCAGCGCTATCACAACATGTGCGGAGAATTCTACTGGGCTTGGGAGTGGAATGTTGCCTTCTGGACCCTAGAGCCAGAGCAAAGCCACAGCAGATAATCAGAGAGCGTTAGAGCCCCTCCTCCCCTAGTGGACTGACTGTTACTGTGTTGGAAAAGCCCCAGCATGTAAAATAACCCCTCCAGCCCGCACCAGATGGATTAACGAACCACCAGCCCGGGCCAGCTCTGTTCCCCAGCACACTGTGGTGACCAGATGTCCCGATTTTATAGGGACAGTTCTGATATCCAGGGTTTTGTCTTATATAGACGCCAATTACCCCCCACCCCGTCCCAGTTTTTCACACTTGCTATCTGGTCACCTCAGCTGTGCTCTCCAGCCCCTCTGGCACTGACCTGGGTAAAGGAGCGGTGCGGGTTGTGGAAATCGATCTGCAGCATGGTCCCAATGAAAGGCAGCGAGGTCGGCCCTGGTGGGTAGCGACTCCAGCTCCTCCTGCGCTTCAGGAAATCAAATAGCAGAGCGAAGACTGTGAGGGCTATGCCCAGTGCTGGGAGGTTGTTCCCGCAGGATCGAAGCTGGGACCAGAGCCACAGGAGCAGCTCCATGATCGTTCTCCCCTTTGCCCCCCCACGTGTTTTTAACTCTCACCCCTGCCTCTTTCTCCTGCTCCTGTTCTCTCACTCTTTGCTATTTCTGTCTCCACCCGTTCCCCTTCTCTCTCTCTATTTATTTCTCAGACACCCGCCCCTCTCTTGCTGACGTCACAGCTTGGAGCTGCCTGGCCAGAATTTCTCTGTAGCCCCTCCTCTGCCTGGACAATACAAACTCGCAGGGGAGTGGTAAGGAAGGGCGGCCCAGCCCCTGCAAAAGGGAAAGGGCATAGCTCCATTTCCAGCATCTGTGGTATGTAACATGAGGGAGAAAGGAGCCCCTGGAGCCTGTGAGCTGTAAGGTTGGGTCCATATGCAAGAATGAGTCTCTCCTAGGGCTCGAATTGCCCCTTGTATTCAGCAGTAGCAATCCTTACCTAGAGTGACTCGATGTCCCCATTTTATAGGGACATCATCATAGGACCTAATCACACCAGCCATACCATCAGGGGCTCGTTCACCTGCACATCTACCAATGTGATATATGCCATCATGT